TAGCATGTCCCAAGAAACAAATTTGGGCGTGGTCTGCAAACAACAACACACCATCATTAAAATGATTATGATGTTATATAATTAATGAGCCAGTATCATATAGAAATGTCAAATCATATGATCAGACATGTACTGCTATTTTCATTATTTCCTTTGACTCCGGCTAAATTAGTGATGATGATGATGACGATATAACTAAAGCCGACCTTCCAATAAGAAAAATATTTATATACTTTCCCTATAAATAAAAAAGAATAATGGAGAAGAAACAATGTTATTTATTTCCCAGCCTTATCCATGCTAGCATGAGATTCTGTACCACGATGGTCAACTCACCAACCCAATAAACAACGAGAGAATTGTGGGTGAGGATGAGAAAGGATAAGATAGTTACGTTACATCTCATTTTACTATTCACGTAGACTTGAAGTGGACACTATTTTGCACCTAATTAATGGGATAATCAAAAGGCAACATCCGACTAACATTGCTCTTCCTATCCCTATCTTCGTGCAGAGGTCAGAAGATGAAGAGGAAGAAGAAGAAAATGATGATATCTTTCATTTTCCTACCTAACACCATAATTGGATGGTGATGCACAAAAAAATATTCGAATTAGCTCCATTTCCACTAGGCATCAGTGTCAGAGTTTGAGATCAAGCCTATCCAACCACTAATTTTGCTTGTGACCTAAACGAGAGAGAGAGAACAAAGGGAAACACTTGGTATCTTAAATATGGAATACATTGTGATCACACATACAGCACAAGTATGACAACACCCAAATGCATTAATTCATAGAGGAGAACGAATGAGATGATGACGACGATGATACGGCACAACCTCCACATGAGAGGGTTTCTTATCTACAGTTTCCATGTTCCACCAGTGACGTCCAGCCTGAGGAAGAAGAACAGGAGGAGGAGGAGGAGGAGGAGGAGGAGGGCTTCACGCACTGCTTCTGAAGGAACCCAACGCCTTGACACCGCTCGCTCTCAGGACGTATTGGTGGTAAGCTGCAGCTATGGCAGCACCGATGGCCGGCCCCACCCAGAAGATCCACTGCAACCAAGAAAGAAAGCACATAAAAAACACTTGTTCGACCTCCTAAAACAACTCCACCATCACTCTTGTAATTGTTGTTAGTGTAGGGGGGATGGAGGTTGTTTGTGTTCTTTATATGCGGACTTTTAAGAGCAGAAACGAAACATAGATCACTGGAGGTGGCACCTGGTCATCCCAGGCCTTGTCCTTGTTGTAGATGACGGCGGCTCCGAAACTCCTCGCCGGGTTGATGCCCGTGCCCGTGATCGGGATCGTCGCCAAGTGGACCATGAAAACCGCGAATCCAATCGGTAGGGGAGCCAAAACCTGCAGGATTAAATGTGATCGTGGTACAAAACCAAGCAGTATTGGCATCAATAACAAGCCCATCTTTGCTTCCGATCAATATACGAATAGAAGAAGAAGAGGGTGTTGAGAGTTACGGACCGGGACGTGGGAGTCGCGAGCACTGCGCTTGGGGTCGGTCGCGGCGAAGACGGTGTAGACGAGGACGAAGGTGCCGATGATCTCGGCGCCGAGGCCGGTGCCCTTGGAGTAGCCGTCGCTGAGCTCGTTGGCGCCGCCTCCGTAGCGGACGAAGTAGGCCTTCTGGAACCCCTTGACGAGGCCGACGCCACAGATCGCACCCAGGCACTGCGCCACTATGTAGAGGAAGGCGCGCACCAACGACACCTTTCGCGCTAGGAACAGCCCGAACGTCACCGCGGGGTTGATGTGCCCACCTGCCGCGCATCATCACCACCAACACCGTTAGCCAAGTCTGTGCGCTTACAGCGTGGAACACGAAGGGAAGGAACAAGAAGAGACCGGAGATGCCGGCGGTGCAGTAGACGAGGATGAAGATCATGCCGCCGAAGGCCCAGGCGATGCCGAGGATGCCGACGCCGCTGCAGGCCGCGTCGGTCGGGTTCACGTTGGGGTCCGACTGGTGCTTGTACCCGATCACAGTCAACACGGTGACGTACAGGAACAGCATGGTGGCGATGAACTCCGCGATCGCCGCCCGGTACAAAGACCACTTGGTCAGCTCCTCCACGTCGACGAGTGGCGCCGGTGGTGGGTCGGTGTAGTCCTTGGCGGTGTACTCCCCCTGCTCCGCCACCTCGATGTCCTTCGCCATCTGCAACGTACCAGCACACGATACACCACTACCACAGTTGTGTGCGTTTCCAGGGAGGGAGATTTGAAGCTATTTAAAGCCATTGGGGATGATGAACAACAGCAGATTAGGTTTCGCATTCTACATTATTTTTTACTCTTTTCTTTCGATTGATTGATGTCTTAAGTTAGAATTTGCCGCCCATGACCGACTAAAACACTTATCAACATCATCAGGTCATCGTCACGATTCACCATCCCGTCTCGTCCCCACCCCGCACTACTGCATGCGTGGCTGTCGCGAGAGCCAGCCAATCCCTCACATGGTCCACCACAGTGCCTGCGAGGGTGATCGGACAGTGGCAAGCATTTGTACGAGTGAGTGAAGGTGTGCATGGAAAGACAACGTGGTTTACTGGTAAGGCTCTTCCATTATTGGCACTAAGGGGAGCAGGTGAGAGGCACACAAGAGAAGATGCGTGTAGGAGCCTGAGACAAGCACTAGCGTACGCCTCGGGCTTTGGCGGACTCGACCACAAAGAAAGTGATGAGTGATTCACTCGGTGGAGAGGAACTCGCTTTGACATGACTGATTGAAACAAAGCTCTGAATCCAAGCAAGCACGCAACAGTGATTACCCCAACTACAAGTATATGATTCACGCAAGCATGCATGCATGCATGCATGAAATGGGCAATTCCTTGTCTCTCTCATTCACTAAATTACTTGCCTTCTTCTCTATCTCTATTGGAGTATTTTTCATCATACACATCTAACATATAACAAAGTAAAGAAAGCTTTTAATATGGAAGTCGATGATAACAGTAGCAAACGAAAAGTCTGTTGCTGGGAAACCAGGGGAAGGCTGCCACGTGGGTGAAGGGAGGCCACAAATTTAAGAAACCAGAGAGCGTGGATTGGATCTGGCGGCGGTGGTTAATGGAGTCTCTTCTTAGATATCGCGATTTGGATTCCTGCGTCGGTAGATTGATGGATCTGCGGCTCACGTCGAATAGGCGGTGAAGACTTGGCGCCATTCATGTCGCCAATCCTAATCCCAATCCCTTTCGATTCTCGACTTGGCCAAATGATACAATAAGCTTCTGCGTGATATGTACAATATTATTATACCCAAAAAAATTATAATTTTTGGTGGCCAATCATATTATGTTACATTCCTCGCCCGAGTTAAGGCTAACCATTAAAATTATATTTCCTAGATGCCTATATGTAGGGAGTATTTACTATTTGATGGTAGTTAGCACTGCATAACCAATGATAATTCAACTAAATTACTTTTTAGCTAATGATTAGAAAAAACAATCTAATATATATTTATTTATTTATTATTTATTATTGATTCTTCATAGATGTTGAATTGTATTAATGGAAGATTCATATAATTATTTTATCCTTTTATATCGTTGTGTAAAGTCTGAAACTGATAACCCAACCTTTAAAGAAAAATAAAGAAATAAGAATCACCACTAAAGAATTGCAATTCAATGTTGCGTCATGAATTTATGCAGCCGACCAAAAAATTGAAACAGCGACCTGCAATTTGAGTCACATCAAATTCCAAGAATTATCTCGCATTCTATATTGCTCTTATGTACTCACCATTTGTCTTTGATTTCTTAATCTTGGGAGATAAGGCAGACTCCATTAAACAATTTAGTTGATGATAAGAAAAACAACTTTGAATCAGCTTCTTGAAGGTTTGCACCCGAAGAATCTTTCTTATACAGCTCATCTTTGTCTAACTCTAAGAGATAGGCTAAGCCAGTAGTTTATAAAAGGACAGCAAGGGTGCAATGATAGACCATAAAAGAATTAGGTGATTGATTACTGATTCTGAGAGCATTAGCTATCATCATACTGCTGCTATATATATCCACTATAATTTTCTGGCCATTCTTATGGTGGAGCATGATTTTGATCTTTCTTTAATAGCTTTCCCCACTTAAGATCAACTAATAACACCAGCAGCAATGTAGGTTTGATCAGAACACAGGAGACCACAAGTTCACATCTGCAATTTGGATTTGAAGTGCATATTTTTGACCGTGATTTCATGATACAACAGTGCAGAACTAATCTCCTTCTTTATTTTCTTTCTCTTCGCTTTATTACAGTAAGAACTACAAGCAATATGATATTTCAAAATGATTAGTTCTTACATAAAATAATCTGCTCTACTTTTTTGCCATGCAATTTGTAAAATTGTTTTTGTAAAACAAAAAATGTAGCCACTAAAAGGTTAGAATTAATGATCATTTAATTAGCATGTTAATTAGAACACACACAGCAACTTGCAGTACACAAATAATGTATGAATGATATCAGTATATATGTCAATGGCATATATAAAATTATTTCACGTAGCTGAATCCTTCATTCATGCAGTAGAACACTCGAGGCTGGCAATGCTCAAACCTGTATGTATTGTTGTTGTTCTTGGGTTTTGTATGGTTTGGTTCCCTTTGTTGCTCCTGCACACATTAATAGAAGCCCAAATTTGATCCAAGAGGCATCTACTGCTCTTCCGAGCATAGATATGTATATATACACACACATGTGTAAAGACTTGCAAGAGTTCAAAGTCATTATTGGAGAAGCACCAACTGCAGCGACAAGGAGAAGTTGACCTTGAAATCCAAAGCAAAGCTTGGCGAGTGATGTGGTTGGCGTTGCGATTCAAGTCTTTGCATCGAAAGTACAGGGAAACCGAGCCTCCTCTTAATTAGACTCCAACAAAGAGACGTAGCAGCTGCAGGGAGACTGAATGTGTGTGCATAATACTTCACCTAAATATTAATTCAGCAGTGCTGACTGCTTTATATTTCAGGCTCAATAGACATGATTTATTTTGTTGGGGGGGGGGGGAGGGGAGGGTGAAGTTTCCTTTTCAGTCTTCAATGATGAAAGAAGGTTGGAGAGGAAAACCATGGTTTCAACGTTTGCATCCACATTGGGTGATGGATGAGAGAAGCTCTTAAAACCAACGTTTCTCACATCATTTCATACGTATTGGTAGTTGTGCATGTTGTTGTCAAGAATTTATGCATTATATGTTCCACTTTGAAATTTTGCATCCACACCAACTGATAAAGGTAAAAGAACTCTCTCTCTCTCTCTCTCTCTCTCTGCAATAGTTGTCCATAAAATATTTTGTATTACTCTACATATCATCACCTCCTACCTCTTTGTTGGTTTATCTTTTTGCCCTTTTGTGCAGTCTCACCCAAAAACACAAACAAATAAATCATCAGTCCTTCAAGAATACAAAGAATCAGTATAATAAGAAAAAATAAATTCCAAAAAAATTGTAAAATCACTTTGAATTGAAATCCTAATATTTAAATCCCCATGATATTTAGATAAATCTCTATAAAATCTTTATTTTTTTTTCTCAGATCATATATGCAAATGACTTGCAGACTTATTAATTTAAAATTATTTGTTTACATTTTTGATTTAACACTCATATAGTTCGTTGTAACATTTCCACTCGTAAATGTTCAACATAATGTAGCCTTCAACGTCTCATTCATGCAAGCGTTTGCTATAATCGTTGCCTCTTTCCTCCGTGAGACCCTCCTGCATACCTTTCAGGCCCCAGCGCGCACCAAGCAGTGGCGTCTCGCCACGTACTCTGTTTCTCGATCGGAGTTTTGGGTTTCGTCGTGACGTGTAACGTTTCCCGAGTCTGTGTATAAACATCGGCCGTGTCTCCGGTGGGTGATTGTACCCTCTTCGTGGGTCCCTATCCGATGTCCTATCACGCCACGGAGCCCAGAGCTGGACTGCAGAGCAGAGAGAACAGGGATGGGCCCCATTCACGTGGCCTCCAGCTGTAGGGGACGTGAGATTCCGCGTCCCACCACCACGGCTTGCTCGACACGTGGATTTCTCCTCGCAAGGATGAACCCGCTCGACGGATTTACCATTCTAACCCTCGGATCTCCGGCCCCTCAGCTCATCCGACGGCCCAAACAGGCACATCTAAACTCAGCGGGAAGCCCGCTCACAGTAACTACACTTGAGATAGCCATCTCCTCTGCGGAGCACCAGAACGGACCACACGCAACGCGATGCTTGGCGTCGTGGGGGTCACGTAAATAAAGACACCGTCTACGGGCAGAACCGAGATCGAAAGAGAGAGAACGCGGAGCCTTATCCACAAGCTCCCCCTCGGTTAAACCTCTCTATAAAACCTCCCCTCCTGCGCGGAGGAACCCAAATATAGCTGAGAAGAACGTCTCTTGTTGCGTCGTTCCCAGCCCCCTCCCCCTCTTCCAACTCTGCTTCTTCTCTCGTCCTCCGACACGAAACAGAACAAGGACTGGGTTGTGAGGCTTAGCCCAGGCGAGGGATTTTTTTTACCGGGAGGGAAGAAAAGGGAGGACCTCATCGATCATGGCAGGGCGAAGACAGCAGCAGGCGACGAAGCTCGCGGCGCACCGCCTCCTCGCGCCGCCGGCCGGGGTCGCTGCTGCCGGGTGCGACGCTGACGAGCTCGACGAGTCCGACGTCTGGGGATGCCCCGCCGAGCCGGGCCAGGCCGAGTTCGCGAAGCCGGTGCCGTCTTCCGCGCGCAGCAGAGGGGGACACCCCAGGGTAGGAGATCGCCCCGCCGCCGCCTCCTCCTTGCCGGTGAACATACCGGACTGGTCCAAGATTCTGGGCAACTGCTACGGCGGGAGCAACAGTAGCTCCAGGGACTGGTGGGAGGAGGACGACGACGAGGACGGCGGCGTCGGCGGCAGCGTGGCGGGGCCAGTAATCCCCCCGCACGAGCTGCTGTGCCGGAGCCGGGCGGCGTCGTTCTCTGTCCACGAGGGGGTCGGCTGCACCCTCAAGGGCCGCGATCTCAACCGGGTTCGCAATGCCATCTGGGAGAAGACGGGCTTCCAGGACTGACCACCTCGTTCGACCATGCGTGCATGCATGCAGTCTTATGGTTTCATACGTATCACCACTTTGGAGAGAGCAAAGAGATAGATTGCGAATGAGTGAGCTTTTTTGTCACCAAAACTCCCTTTCTTTTTCCTTCTCTTTTTATAATATATGGATGTCATCTCATGTATTCTTTCTTTCTTTCTTTCTTTCTTTTCTCTCTTGGCTTGATGATTTATAGCAGATCTAATCTTCTGATAAGCAAGTGTTTCTGTTCCTCAGTCTCAGCAATTTCTCTGCTGACATATGTTCAATTAGTTTTTGGTGTTACTTGGAAGACAAGAGGATGAACAGGATACTCCCGAACAAGAGCAATTTAGAGAAGCATGGAGCAGAAGCTAAAAGATCCCCAGATCTAATTGATTTATTTTAAGATGAGATGATGACTCACTCTATCAGGATCTGATCAGATATTGCTTTTCTTTCCATTTTCTTGTTGTTATGATAAGGTTTATCCTGTGGACGAATTCTCGACATTACTTTAATGGAGACCAGAGTAGTTGAGATAAATGCAGTGTCCTGCATTCGTGAGAATTTCCATCCCTGCCTCCATAATAGCAGACATAACAGAGAACTATTTTTGATCTGCACTCCACACACACATCTCTATGGATTCATAGAGCTGTATGCTTCAGAATTAAATTCAAAGCAACACATAATCTAAAGCACCAGTCCTCTGTTTGCTTTAGAGGTAGCAGTTCCACCTCCAAAAGTTGATCACTTTATGCTTAATGCTGAGTGCATTGTGGAATCTCAAATGGCATGTAGGTTGTTCTCTCTCTCTCTCTCTCTCTGTGATCGCTAGAAAATGCCATGATAATAGTGTTCATATTCCTGCTATGATATTGTCCCGCATCAATCTTTTTAGGTGGAAATGAACACCATGAGAAGGTCACCATCGAGCAACAGGGACAGTGGAGGAATCCATGGCCAGAACAAAGGAAAGTCAAACTAGTGATGAGAAGAAGCCACTCGGAAAATTCTTTTGATTAGGCCTCGATATATGTATGCCAACGTCGTCCATTGTTGATAGTATGAAAACATGAGTTACTTCAACAAATTGATGGAAAAGAAAAAGAAGAAGACGAGCGCTCGATTGATGTGGTTGAAGATAAAAAGGGAAGTAGACGAAGAAAGAAAAAGAGAATTCATTATCTCAGAACACCTCAGCAAAAGTATTCATATCTATCTATTCCTGCAGGATAGGATACGTATCTCACAATCGATTTCATTCTTCTACTTGCTGAAAATTGATTAGATAATACTGTATTTATTCTATTAAAATAATTAATTATCAATTAGAACTAACAATCGTATTGTTTCCACAGTAATTATGATAAGAGAAAAGTTAAAAGTCATTACGAAATCAGAACAGTTCCTTACAAAGAACTCAGAACAGTTTATAAGAAGAAGACCAAAGTATTCTAACACCATCTGAATTACGATGTTAATCTCTGAAGAAGATTAAGATAGGCTTAATCAGGATATATAGTCTTCTGTTTTAGCATAAAAAATTGCAATGGAGGGCTTCGTCTGCAAGTCTATTCCGAGAAAGATTAAACTGATGAAGCTGTGTTATAATTATATGTGAAAGTAACAGCAGAATGTGAGAAACAAGCTTCTGTTTCCACAGCATCATCCTAAGGAAGGAAGGTTACAGCACAGGAAGTCTTTCCTGAAACAGTCAGAATTCAAGCTTAGAACAAAGATGAATTCAGTATACTTACTTGGCTATGATTGCAGGCTCCTGTTTGCAGCATCTGCATGTTTTGCTGCTGCCAATCAACTGAAGAACTCACAGAGAAGAGAGTTGCCAAACACATGGATCAAAATCCACAAAGGGACAGGATTTAATTTGGCTAAAGAAATGGCAACCACATCATCTTTTCAACTCCCAGTAAACATTTTGAAGAATATTGCTGCAAAATGAACTCGAAGGAAATAACAAGAACCAGGTGCAATGAAACTGAGAGAGACAGAGAGAGACAGAGAGAGGCAGGTGGCACCGCAGTTATTGGATCCCCTCCCCAGAGGTGGTGGTGGTCTCCCATGTGGAGGAACAAGGGAAGTAATGAGATGGCCCAAAAACGTAGGCAGATGACCACAGAATTGATGGGACAAAGCTTATCATAATTTATGTCTTCAAGGGACCATTCCACTTAGTGCGTTGCTCTCATCCGACCTTTGAAATCACCACCACCACCACCACCACCACAACAACAACAACACACACATCCATTGAATGCACGATTGCTCTGTAAACATCATGAGCACTCCAACTTAGACTACCACCACCTCCATGACACTGTTGACTTTTCCATCCATCTCTTCACACATACACATACACATACACATATTGTGGGACTAATTCATTTCTTCTTCTTTCTTTGGGGGGGGGGTTGGAGGATGGCGTTCCCTCCCTCGGATTAAAGACGGCTGAGGTCCACCGCCCACCAACATAGATTTCAATGCCACATGCTTGTGGAATTTAGCCTACAAAAAGATATACCATCGAATTTATTTGATCGGATGTAAATTAATTTTATTTAATAAAACACATGATGATGAAAATAATTATAAATAATGTGCTACACAAAGTTATATCAAATACTCTACATGGCTATATTGCATACGCACATAAATGTCATGACTATGATATATAACATACCAAGATATCCCCGAATTCACGCGTCTTGCTTTGCTGCTTGCTCTCTCAGGTCAAAGAAACAGGTGAAAGAGAGCAGCAAAAGAAGAGTGAAAATAACACACGAGTCGACCGGTGCATGGAAAATATGTATGTATGAACAAAAAGAGTCAATGCCATTGCTACTCTTAAGCACTAAATCTTATCATAATACACCTAACTAATGTTATCTCACTAATATAACCCAACTAATTAAGAAGACTCCATATACATATATATATTATGCATCTTTTAGGAAGAGAAACGAACTCTTCTCTCTCTCTCTCTCTCTCTCCGTTTCGCCGTCTTTACTCCCTCGTCTCGATCTCTGTCTCTCTTTCTCTCTCTCTCTCTACCTGTTTCGCCAGACGATGAGGCGTGAGTAGATCTATGGGTTCTTTTGACCTCTGACGGAGGAGGGAGAGCAAAACCCTAGCCTAAGGAGTAGCGTTGGAGCGCTAGATTCCGGTGGAATCCCGTGGAAACCGCCGACGATCGCGGCGGAGTGGCCGGAGGAGCTGCCATTTTCCGTCGGCGTCGGTCGATTCGGTGGAGCCGACGGAGACGGCTCGGGAGGGCCGGATCTCGCCTCCTGACGGCCGTCGGAAGGCGATCTGCTTGGCGGCTAGTGGGTGAGGAAGGGGGCGGGGCGAGGATGTACAAGAACCAGCTGCAGGAGCTGGCGCAGCGGAGCTGCTTCAACTTGCCATCGTACACGTGCATACGGGAGGGGCCGGACCATGCGCCGAGGTTCAAGGCGGCGGTGAACTTCAACGGCGAGTTGTACGAGAGCCCGAGCTTCTGCACGACGCTGCGGCAGGCGGAGCACTCGTCCGCGGAGGTGGCGCTCAACGCCCTCTCCCAGCGTGGCCCCTCCCACTCCCTCGCGGCACGGATCCTGGTCGGTACCTATTGACCACCGCCTCCTCCCTCTTTTTCTCTTTATTTCTGACCCCCCCCCCCAAAAAAATCCTTTCCCTCTGTTCTTTTTCTTCGATTTTATTCACTCCACGAAATCAGTCGGAAAAAAGTTCATCTTTTGCTTCTTTGTTTCGTACTTCAGTTTTCCTGCGCTATTTTCAGCATAAAAAGAGTTCAAAGAGAAGGAACTTTGATTAGTTAGTAGAGGTGTTTTTTGGGAAAATGGGAATCAAAATTGTGAACGAAAAGGAGATTCTTTCGTCTTGATTTGTTCTCATTTGACTGTTCTTTGCAACAAGTGAAAACTAGGAAAGAAAGGGACTTTCCAAGCTAAGTTTGACTCGCTTTCTTCTTTCTCCTTTTGCCCTTTATGTTCCGATTTTAGTTAAAATATGCTTCGTTGGAACGTCGACGGGTTCCTTCTCGAGATTCCCCGCTCTTGTTTCCCCGACGGGCCTCGTGGTTTTCCGTTAGGGTTTCGGCTCAGCTCGTTATATCTCTGTCAGCATGGTTAAACTAGTCCGTTATGTTTCATTAATCCCAGTTACAGGAGGAAAGCCCAAAAAAGGAGCATATTTGTCCCGGAACACTGATCATTGTTGTGGCCAATTATGTACTTCGGAAAAAGTATTATGGTAGTCTCTTGATCTTTGTCCTATGGGTTTATCAACTTATATAGATACCACAGATAAGAAATAATTACCTATTGAAGCTTAAGTTTAAAACTTCAATCGTTAACGGTGGATGTCTTTCCAACCAAAATTTTGTTGTCCTAGTGGCTTAGTCTATTCCAATATGGTGCAGGGTTCTGTACCTTGGTTAAAACATCGTATACAAATATGTAGTCAATTGATCTGTTTAGAAATTATGATGATGCAAGTGGCAGACTTGTTGGGGATAATAGTGAAAACAAACGATAGTAGTGGAAACATGAGGCAGATTGTTTTGAATTTTGGTAGCCACATCTGACCGTACAAATGACTGATGCAAGTGGATCCCAGACGCTCGGTAAGAAGGCTATTGGAAATTTTCTTCTGGTCAGTGGCACTATTCTTTGGCATGCTTTTGGTGGAATTATTTATGCATCCAGTAATTTTTGTGATTGTGTCTTGCAGCAGCCTAGACCTGCTCAGTAGATTCATAGCTTTTGTTCTCCTCTAGGAGCTATCAAATGAGGAATTAATGATTTGCATGGGAATCACAAAGTCTTTATTTGTGCATAGGGATATTGTGAAATAGTCTTCTTCTCTCTTATACTTTTAGGTCTCACATTGCACCAAGTAGGATTCAGGAATTGGTCCTCATCTTCTCGCTGAGGCCTTTTGACTTCAGAAGGTTCCATAAATGGATGAAATCTATAATGTACAATCGATCATAAGTTGTGCTGTTCGTTAGGTTTACTATCACATTTCTACTTTCTGCCCTTCCTTTTATCCCCATCATGGAGGTTGAGTCTTGGTACATCTTGTAGATTCTCACACCTTATATATAGTGAAAAACAGTCTCCACAATATCTCAAAATGTCAATCTTTATCTATGAGACGAGCCATCATATACTGTTTAAGCTTAGCAATCTAAAGATCATGAATTAGTTCTGTTGAGATAACCAACGTGTAAGACCGTGAAGTTACCGGATGAATTGTCACGGTGCTTTCGAATACGATTAGTTGCTTTAAGGCAGTGTCTATTCCTTTTAAGTGGATTTTTCTTATTCTAATTCAAGCTAGTGTTTATAATCTTGATGACCATCACTTAACAGGCAGCATAGAAGCCTGGAATTGTCACTTTGTGAAGATGGATTTTTAGCCTTCTATAACATTGTTACAAACATACACACACACACACACACTAGAGAAGCATGTCCTTTGTTGTCTTTCTGATGTCATAAAAATTCTGCTCTAAGCAACTGTTTTCCCGAATTTTCTGGTCTCTGGTCATATCAGTTGTTCCTTTGAACATTGTAGTATTCTGTATATCAGTATTGCAGATTCTTTTTCTGTCTTTGAATCATGTAGAGGCTTATTTTGCATCATGGGTGGTGTAGATTGTACTCTTAAAATTCTGGTCTTTGGCCATACCAGTTGAGTGCCTTCCGACACAACAGTACTCTGTATATCGATATATGCATATTTCTTTCACTGTGTTGGTATCTTTGATAGGCTTATTTTGCATCTAGTGGTGTAGGTTATAATCTTGTAATGAATTTAAACTTGAATAAAGTGGTCTAAAAGAACCTCGGTGGTAATGAATTCCAACTGGGTTACTAGTGCCAAAGAAATGCCAAATACATTGGTTTTTATTCAGACCAGGCATATCCCGTCTAGTTCTAATTGCATAATCTTCATGATTTCCTGACAATGATTATGATCTTTTAACAGGATGAGACAGGAGTCTACAAGAACCTCCTACAGGAAATTGCCCAGAGAGCTGGGGAACCATTGCCATCATATACAACAGTTCGTTCTGGACTTGGACACCTACCTGTCTTTGCATGCACGGTGGAACTAGCTGGGATCACATTTACTGGTGAACCAGCTAAGAACAAGAAGCAGGCAGAAAAAAATGCTGCTTTAGCAGCATGGTTATCATTGAAACAATGTGAGTCCTATCCTTGTTCGACGCATTATTGCTGCCATGTTACTTGGTTGAACTCCATGTATGATCTGTCCTTCCGTCTTTCTGCTTTCTTTGCTTCATACAACAATGAGTATTTGCTGTTGCATTGTTTCTCAATTAAATGCTTGATAGGGTTAGATCCTTCTCCTTTAGGGATCTGAAAACTGAAAACCCAAAAACTTGAAGAACATGATGAGCACTATATTGAAGTCACCACTACTATGATGATTTTCCAAACTAGAGGATTTGTGATTACTCTTACATCACAATACTTATCATCTTGTGATTAAGACTTTGTATAATTTAAATGATTGGAAGGTGAAGGATTTTGTTGAGTACTTGAAAAAGAAAGGGTTAAAATGAACTCTATTCTGAAAGCTCCTGGTCTGTTTTTTTTTTCTTTTTCTGATGGTGTTCCATCAGAGTTTAGAGAAGGGTTAAAACACTTCCTTGCAGGCTTATGAATAGGTTCCAAGTCCATCCATTTCGATATATTATCTTTCGATAAGTTCCTTGGCTTCATAATGGTTTAGTGCATTTTGGTTCGTGAATCTTTGGAACTGTCCACAACTAGATCCAGCTGCAGTTGAATTTCAGTAGCACATCCTGGAATTGATCGTGTCAAATTTGTCAACATCATTGAGCTTTTGCATGTTTAAAGTTATCAGTAGCTAATGTCTCTGATACTATCATCATGGCAATACAGTGGCAAAGAAAGCAGCAAGCTCGTCAATCGAACATGAGAACAACGATGAGCAGGAGCAGATCACCATAGCCCGAGTTCTCCTCCACTACCGCCTGAAAGAAAAGATGGCCATGGTAAACAACCCCCATGGAACTCCTTTCCCAAAGAAGTTCCCAATTCAACTAGAAAAAAGACCAGCTTCATCGCAGCCTTCTCCATCTGTATCAAAGATCCTTCCTTTCATACGGCAAAAATCTGCTCCAAGAGTCCGTCCTACCTCCTCTGGAATAAATGATGCAACTCGTGCGCCATCCTACCAGCAAGGAGAAAACCAGAGTGTCTGGCCCCAGAAGTTCCCCACTGCTGGAGCAGCACCATACTTCCCAGTTAGGCACTTCAGCAGGCCTTGCCAAGGCATTGCACCTCCTGTGACAATAAGGACAGCGGTGCCAGTATTTTCAGCCCCACCACTTCCGCCAGCAGCTGCACAGGTGAGCCAGCTTCCTCCTGTTACCGGTCAAACACCAATCCGTGTGGCATCGCCAGTCCGCATTAGACAATCTGTGCCAGTCTTTGCCGCTCCACGACCAGTCCCACCTGTGAATTCGGTGATTCCAGCTCAGGTAAAGGAACCATTGTCGGTTGTGGCATCCTCTCCAATCCCCAAAAAACCTGCACCGGTTAGTGCATCAGCCATTCCTGTTCAGTTAAACCAATCAGTGCCAGTTGCTGCAGCATCACCGTTGATGAAGGAACCATTGCCGGTCGTTGCACCAGCTGTATCAGTTCAGATAAAGGAACAACCATTACCCTCAGTTAAGACACTGGAACCTTCAATCAAGCTCATGGCCTGCCCTCCAATGTTGCCTTTGATTGGGTTGATGGACACTGTAGATGGTGATGATGCAAAGGATCTGGAGGAGTCTGAATGTACAGCAATGGAGAGCTTGAAACGACTAGAGATCTGATGATGCCTGAGGTTGAAAGATCTTTCGGGATGTTCACATCCTTTTTTGTCACGTCTTGCTTCTGGGATTGTGAATTTTTGCTTTGCCTTTCTTTTAACTCTTTCTAGTGTCTTGTAAAGGATACACTGTGCTAGGATTTCGGCCAAAATCTCCAACTTTAAGCCATTTCACTTGAAGGTGCGCAATGCATAGATCTTTCGTTGGTAGGCAGCGAAGCTAGGAGAGATGCTTATAGTTTGTCTAAAAGTTCATAATCGTCCTTTAGCAGCTGGAATTCATGTGATCTTTATGGCTTGGTCTATAACAAGTTTTCTCTGTTGTTCTTAGCTCTCCATGAAGCATGGTGGAGGATGAGTGAGAGAATGGACAGACTGCATAAAAGCGCTGTAGTCATATGGTACCTGCAATTGCACTTCCTGTCTTGCTTTTCTGGAATGGATGATTTGGCATGTTAGAGGTGCGAGCAGTCGAGCAGGAACAAAGATGGTGAGAACAGGTAATGGTGCCTCCTCTTCCTCTTCCTCACTTTTGCTGAGAAAGGAATGTCTAAATTTAATAAATAAAATTTATGATGCATGCTATTTAAGAAAGCATATTAAAAGTAGTTTGAAATCTTAAAATTAAGTACATATTTGTAGATGATTACAGCTAATTCGTATATACATTTATTAATATCATAAATTTGAAAATAGTAAATATATATTTGTGATTTTTAATGATGGATATAATTGAATATTTTTTTACACAAAAATAATTATTTTAAATTTTTTTTGCCAAGGTTTGTAAATAAGTTCAAAATAAAAAGTGTGTTGTGATTTCATATCTTTGACCCGATAATAGTGATGAATTTAAAAATTATAATTTTTAAATTATAATTATAGGTACGATCATAATTTTTACATTCCAAGAAAGTCACAATAAAATAGAATTATTGAGAAAAGGAATAATAACTTACTAAGATATGTTTAGGATTATTCTCAATAAGCATAACTTACTTAAAGTCGTTAACATCTTATCTTATGAGTTATGGAACAATAAATGACATAATATTTCATATTTTAAATTTTTTTTATTATAAATATTTTATTTTGAATGACAAGAATGTCTTAAAAGAAGTGTGATGTTAAAGATATTTTTCTTAGACACCTTTTTATTTCTAAAGCTTATATAGTTTTGAACAAAAGATATTTAGTTTTTGAAGAATTTATTCATATTATTTTTTATAAATTTCTTCAAACTAAAAAAATTAATTTTGATGATATTTGTTTTGAATTAAAAAAAAATTAAATTTAATTGATGATTCTACTCTTTAAAGTAACTTAGATATATCTCCTTGCAAAGAAATCTCACCCGACAAATGACACTTTATGAATGCACATCTTAAAAAGATGATTATTTGGATATATTAAAAGATGTTCGAACTTGTTTTTCTTTAAAATTTTATATAAATAAATTTTTTATCATAGATTAAGCATAAATATATTGATGATGCTCTTAAAGATGATTAATGAGTCTCGATAATACATGAAGAACGAAATCAATTTGAGAAAAATAAAGTTTGGATGCTTGTTCTTAGACTTAGTGATCATATTATAATTGATATTAAATAGATCTTTAGAAATAAATAAGATGAATAAGATATTGTGGTACGAAATGAGACTAAATTAGTGATCAAACTATTTCGACTTGAAACCTTAAAATACTCCTTGGTTATGCTTGTTTTAAGAATTTAGATGATTTCAAATAGATATTAAATATTTTTCATAGTAGTTTTATTTCAAAATAAGTTTATACCAAACAATAGCTCAAATTTAAAAATAATATTTATAAATTATCTAAGGCTCTTTGCAGGTTAAAACAAGCCCCTATAAACTAATATGATAGACTTAATTATTTTTTAAATTAAAATATATTTTTTTTAAAAAAAATAAAATTGATATCATATTATTTATTAAATAATTAAATAATTATTGTTTAAATTTATGTTGATGATATTATTTTTAACTCGACTAATAAAGATATAATCAAGAAATTTACTAAGAGTATAAGTCAAGAAATAGAAAGGAGTCAAACGAGTGAATTAATTTTTTTAGTTTACAAATTAGATGATCTAATGATGAAATATTATTAGTCAAGTAAATGCACTTAGGACTTACTTAAGATATTTAATACGGAAAACTCTAAATAATGATGATGAATTCTTTGACCAAAAAACTTATGCATAATCAAAAGTTTATTATATCTTAGAAAGTTATATTATGTAGACTTTTGTGTTTGGTTATAATTGAATTCTAAATAGACTATGGTACCCCAAATTTAATAATTTTAATTTATTTACTTATATCGATAATATTTTCTAGGATATAGAATAAATAGAAGAAAAAAAGGTAAACTCTTAAGCTATTTTTTGATCGAATTATTTGTAGTTGAAGTTAAATATGTCGCGATAGATGTATATTATGTATAAATAATTTGGATAAAATATATTTTAAAAAACATTCATATAAAGTTGATAATACTGTACAATCAATTCGAGCGTAATCCTAGATGATGATATTTTACTAAAGATCGATGACTCTTTTTCTCTCAACAGACCTTCCTGTTGGTAATTGGCTTCTGCATCGAGGCTCGTCACAATGAACCGCTCTGGGTTGGAGGAAGAAGCAATATCACATCCGATTCATCATCGATGGCAGAAATGAAGGCGCTGACTCCATTATGGCTATCTCCTATATGGATATGGAGCAAGTCCGATTCAAAGGAAGTCATTAATTTTGTCAAAGGAATCCCAATTTTATTAACTAGCTTAAAGTTTTCAAAGCTCTCCCACCAACCAACCTTAGATCATTTAAGAACGTAAGCCACCTGTTGGGCATCTTTTGGTAGAACCTAATCTTCCCCACTTTTCAAAGCTCTCATTAAAGTAATATAGTATATTTTCTTAGTATAAATTCATCATTTTCAAACCAAACATATTAATATTAAACATTATTAGAAATTATATTAGTAATTATGATATGTCATTAGATTTTATAAATACAAAAAATCAATTGATAAATATCTTTACAAAAGATCAATTTAATTTTATTAGTAGAACCACCACCCAAGACTAGTGTCGCATCCTCAAAATAAAATAAAATAAAATTATAAAGGTGTGAGCCTATCTTAAATATATTAAAAAAAAAATAGTTATCCATAATCCAAATCCTAGATCCAAAACATAAAATTTAAAGACACCACTAAAAAATATCACCAAAAGTATAATGATTATTTGAAGATATCACTATAAAGACTTGTGTAATTTATAATCGTTTACCATGTCACTTGATAAAGTTATAAATACGAAGCTAATTCAATAAATCTAATCTTATAAAAAATACCATAGCTATAAACCAATCATTTATCATAAATTTATAGCAAGCATCAAAATTTTAAGTTTAAAATTCTAAACTTTCAAAACATAAGATATCTTTTAATATTTACAATAATAAACATAAACTTATATGCAACCAATCCTTCTTACCATAGCCTTCTTCCTCGAGTTCTAACAACTAAAGCTTTGCCTCAAAGCTTCATTTAGTTATTGTGAGAAGTTCCCGATACCAACTGTACAAACCTTAGGAGGAGATTTCAAAGCAAGAGAGAAGGAGGAGATCGACTGATAGTGTTGTCGAAAGACAACTTACGCCCTACGTGTCTATCAGTCTCGTTATGCACTTTTAATTTCAATGCTTTAAGTCTTGTAGTTAGTACTTTTATTTTTATAAGTAATAGAGATTCAATTTTATACTTAGTCTTTCTACGATGGTTTTTTATTTGACCAAAATTTTCATTTGAAAGAGAGTATCGAGTCAATCAAACTTGAATCCTATACGGATCTACGGATATGGTAATATTAGATATTGGGAAACCATAGAAAACATCACATGCATGGTAAAAAATAAAAAATAAAACTTGATTCCAAAAAATAATCTTATCTAATCATTGTACGAAGATCGGGAGTGAAAACTCAAAGTGACAAAAATCGCATAACTGCATAAACTAGTTAAGATATTCTCACATAGGGGAGATCATATATCCTTAAATATGTAGATCTCAGTCCGTAGATAAAGGAGCACTCACAAACTCCTCTTTAGCATTGAGCCACTCAGCGGATACAACGAGAACACACCTCATCACACAACACGTTCCTTCCTTGCATTCATGCACTATCACACCACAACAACCAAGGAAGGATTAATTTATCTTGCTGTCCTCTTACATTAGAAAGGGTAAGGAGGAGATATAGGAGGTGGCGATAGTAAGGGTATAGCTTATGATCCTTTAAGCCCAAACTCCTATATATATATAAAGGTCTATTGTTTACCCTAATGAATCTTATCTTAATGGGTATTGGATCTCCATCTAATTATCTTGATTTAATGAATATTGGATCATCATTCAATAACCACTCTAAGTCCTATTGGATCTTACCCAATGGATCCAATAAAACAGTGACTTATTGGACATTTCATATCCAATCCTTAACTCATCGCATTGTTTACCATATGCGTGTGGATACAAGAGAATCTAATGTATTAGACATGTTTGTCCTCAATTACCGTGTATTGAAAGTCCCTTATCCATCTAATATCCCAAATATCATATACCGAGCATTATGCTCGAGCATTATATTGTCAGGTTCATACGAAATATATCTAAATCTCATTCTAATCGAATTTTAATTCGAATCTCGCGCTTAACGAATTCATCATGATCCGATCGACCCTAGCCATGGATTTACTTGAGTAAAAGCATATAAGATATTCATTTCATGATACCGAAAGTGGATAATCCTCTATTGACACTCAATTATCTTCGTAAGGTTGGTATCAAAAAATGAAGTACTCAAACAAAGAACATCCTTAGTATCTCAAGTCTAAAGATCGGATACATAACTAGGACTACGATATCATTATCTAACTATGAGGTATCATATAGGACATCCTTGATGTCTCAAGTCGAAGGACCAAATGCACAACTGAAACTACAGAATTAGTGTCTAATGATAAGACATAATTAACCAACCAGCATTCAATGAATTATTTTCTAATAGGCAGTTGCACTATATCCACGGTATCATCTCCCACCAATCCATCAATCTACATGATTAGATTGGATATTCATGCCTACGTGACAAAATGTAGCACAAATGCTTCACACATCATATCATCTCGAATCAGCATTTGGGAGAAATCAAGCACCTCCTGTTGCACGTTGAGCAAAGTGTTACCA